GAACGTCTAAAAAATGGTATAATTGCCCATTTTTAACGGATTTTTACGCTAAAAAGGTCACCTAGAATTTTCGGGAGCCTTTTTTCTGGCTGAAATTTTCGAAAAGGTAAGTTTTGATCCCTATAATTTTCGGATCTCTAGACTTTCAGCTAGGAAATCCGAACAGATGAATTCTTTTGGGGGGATAAAAATATGCCTATATCTACCGTTCAAATACTAAAATAGTTTAACAATGCTATGTTTAAATGGTTTTGAACTATATTCTCGTTGGGTGCCCCTGAAGAGCGCAACTAGTTTAAGACCCACCTGACAGCCTACAAGCCGAGACTGATTATCCTAACAACGTTTTTAGTAAGAACAATTACAACGCGGACTTTGTTAGACGCAGTAATACTGATTCCAACACTCAGACCAACTCTGGCCCTGTTACGACAGCGACTATACCGTACATCAGAGGCACCTCTGAAACTATTACACGTATATTACAACCTTACAATATACGGCGTGTTGCACACAAGCCGATAACCACTTTACGGCGACTGCTTACTAATGTCAAGGACAAAGACAAACCGGGGAACAGACAGGGAGCAGTATACAAGATCAAATGCTGCGACTGCCAGGCTTCTTACATTGGTGAAACTGGCAGACCTAAGCACGCGACTGACCGAACACAAACGAGCGACGAGGAATGGTGGCGTCAACAATCAAATTGCTGAGCACCATTTAAAGACGAAACATCAAATTGACTGAGACTCTGCGACATGTATAACGTATTCTGCAGACTACTATCAACGTCTTACTTTAGAAAGCTGGTTTACTAACTTAGAACAAACGTCCCTGAATCGTAGCCAACAGTTACTAGCGCCGTACAAACGACTTATTGACGAGATCAAGCAAAACTAACTACGAGATAACGACTGGAGAACTGACAATTTGACTAACAACAGACGACTGTTTAACTGTCAGTGTGACAATATACGGATCGAAACGCACCAGTTACTGATTACGAGTCTTCATAGCCAATAACATCACGGCTTAACTGACAGACGACCAATAACATCGCGACGTAATTGACCAATCAGATCAATAACCAGAGTATAATACCATCAACTGACGTGATACAACTCACTTTGNTAACATCACGGCTTAACTGACAGACGACCAATAACATCGCGACGTAATTGACCAATCAGATCAATAACCAGAGTATAATACCATCAACTGACGTGATACAACTCACTTTGACTCTGAAGATGACTACTGCATAGGTTGTCGAAACGTCAGTCACTGTCAACAGCAATAGTCCTATTCAGGACTACGTGCAAACGGACGATCAAACTCAACCTACTTTTGAAAATACAGTAAAGATCTAACTTTTGCGCATCTACTATTTACGGAAAAATGTTCACGCATGAATTCACCCGTCAATCTGTTTAATCGTTTTTTAATGGTTTCCTTTCTGATTTTGTTGAGATCACCTCGTGTGCATATACTAAAACAATTATTCTTTTCAATCTCGGTGAATGTTAGTGGCTACTATTTGCCACTATTCACCTCGATCTCAAATATCAAATTTATGTTAAAATAATAGCTCTTGCCTAGTTGGTTCTGTAAGTTATGTCTGATAATGATGATTATAATTATGTTATTGACCTTGTATGTGAAGGAGTACACTTATGGAACAGGCTTTGAGAAATACAAGAAAGGGACATTGGATAACTGGGCAAAATATTTGCTTTAATAGCAGTCATTTAAATGATAGACAGCACTAACAGTCTTCCATCAACAACAACAACAACAACAACAACAACAACAACATATCTATCAGTAAACACTAGTTAAATTAATGCCATTTTGGTGTAATTTGAAAACTTGAAGATTCTGTATACGTACGGGCTTTGACTGTACTTTTTTACTTGTTACATGAAAGGGCGAAATAAACTTACTTGGATTTATTGGTTGACTTTAGCCCGGGGGAGGGGTACTCCCTATATATGACCTATACGGGGATCAGTGCTGCTGGACAGGGTATGGTTTTTGACCTCTCTGTCCTAAAAAGGGTATATAATTTCGTGTGAGTCTGTCGATAGGGTATTACCTCGGGTATTGCCTGCACGACCGATTTGATGTGAGAGAAAAAAGAAAAAAATTTTTGAGAAAAAAATTCAACTAAGTTGAGTTGAAAGCCATCTTCATCTTGCCCAAAATGATGTCAAGTGTTGCAAAATCCCAAGCATGTAATGCCTTTTAATTGTACGTAGACCAATACTGGCTGCAATCTTCGGTAGATTTGTTACAAGCGAATCCATAATTAATTTAGATGCACATTTTATTTCTATTTGTATTCGTGCATCAAAAAAGAAAAACCTGTGTTTGGGCGAAATTGGAATTTAGAATTTCTTAAAAAGCAAAGTCAGTTTCATTCCTTTACAAATTAATGATTGTATGCTCTAGAAAGTATAGAGAAAATTTTCGAGAAAATGATTTTGAACAAAAGAAAATAAAAAGTATCGCGGATTAAAAATTAACCCCGGATTTATAGCGCTAATTGGCCTAAAAACCACTTGCAATCAACAAATCGCTGTGGCGTAATGACGGGTAAGTCACAGCTAGTTGCTTCATGTCTCGGTGAAAAACGGAATTTAGGAAGGGGAAAATAGCACGAGATGAGAACAGATGATGGTATAAAAAGAGATAGGTACCATAAAATGAGTCCTTTTATCTGAAAGCAGTAAGTATTTATGGCAAGTTCACTGTTGTCGTTGCGACAAGAAAAAAAATCATGAAATGTGAGTTCCGCATAGGAAAAAAAGTAGACTTATACCTCTATCCTCATTCTCGGAATGGTGTTCTTGCAACACACACCGAGTTTTCATGCACACGCTATATATAGTTGTGGTTCCTCGGACGGTTCCTCGTACTCGATGGCAACTCGAAGTGCAAAACTGCTGAGCACTGTGACACGGACAGGCATTTCTTTCTGCTTCTCTTAAGCAAAAGCCAGTACATTGACACACCGAGATATCATCGCGTCCTGGCTTTGCGGCCACTTCAATGTCTCTTTCCTCAATTTCATCGAGAGTAAATTTTATACCCATGATGGCGGGAGAAAAACAACATTATTTCACTTCATGTAAGACTTCACGAATTGGTACATTTGATGAAGTGTCACTTGACGTAAGTACTTTTCAAAACAAAAATCAAAGCAAACCGTTGAGCCTGCGCAGTACGGACTGGAGGGCACCTTTAATGTGGTTGTTCTCGAAAAACAACTACAATAAAACAACACAATTGCGTGCTGTGTTTTTTCATGTATATTGTGACGCGGTACATGTACGATGCTCGGCGTCGGGATTTTGCATTATCAGCAAGTACATGCAACTATCCGTTTTATAGTGCTTATAAGAGTTTGAATCACCGCGATAATTTTGGCCAATTTAAGCTTTCTACAGATATCGAAAAGAATCCAGGACCTTCAGTTTATGTAGATCGCGGCTACAAAAACAATTCATGCCCATGAGGCCGAAGGCCGAATGGGCTATTGAGTTACAGGCCATGAGGGCGAGAAGAATAATTGTTTTAGTAAAATCCCAATAATTGGTCAAAAATATCGAGACAAAACAACTTGCTAGCAAAACGCGATTCATCCGCTATTGTTTTGGTTTTCAAAGCCGGCGCTTTTCGCTACTAGTAGGCTGTAACATTTAGCCGAGTAGTAGCTTAACCAATCAGAACGCAGCATTGATAATAGACCACTAGCTGGATTTTACTAATATTGGAAATACCATCTATGCAGAAATTGGTACATTATTTTCAGAGTCTATATAGGAATGAGGATATAGATGAGCTTAAAGGTGTACATTGCCAACTTTGAAGTTGATCTTTTTTCAAGCAGTGTTGAACATTGTAGTATGTCAAATGTTAATAGCTACCAATATTCCTGTAAACAGTGCTGCGCTATAGCAGTTTATGCAATGTGTCACTCTTTTATAAATCCTTGTAGATACTGGACTTCAGGAACTTTATCTGCCCTTGTTAGTAACCGGAATGCACTGTACAATGTGATGGGTGTGAAAAGACATATTATGCCAGTCGATCTTCCTCATAGTGTCAGTATCAGTGGAGCTGAGATAAACCTTACTGTCCGGGCTGTAAGCACTGTTGTTCTATGTTGCAATTTGACTGAGAGCAAGTCTGTGTTGAAGATGTGCATTTCAAAACATTTTCATGAAGTGACAGGATTTTTTTTATGGTTTGGAACATACTGTATAAGCTGTGTGGTTCAGCAAAGAAGTAGAGTAAAGGATTTATTTTCTCTGGTAGGATACCATGACAGTTGTTTAGCTGCTATAAGGCATGTTAAAAGTATCATACGCGTAGTACAACCACGCCCAAATATACGCTCCCATATCGTCTTGTTCTACAAGAAACAGGATTTACTCGCTAAAGGTTTTTTACTTCCTATTTTATGGACGTCGATACTTTTTACTTGTTTCTGAATTGATTTAGTACGCGTGTTAGCGACGGCCGGAAATACGTCTGCGGTCGCAGGCTATTCGCGTGTATAAATACACGAAAATTCAAGGGCCTCGATTCCAGAGAAATTACATCATTGCCTGAGATCAAAAAAGTGATTTACATGGCACGTCATTTCACTCATTCCCGACAATAAATGGCATGCTCATCACAAGACCCATTTGCATACAATGAAAGTTAACAACACCCGACCATCGCAGTTTTGCTAACTAAGATTCTTATTTTTTTTTTCGACCACTCAGTAGTGTTCACTTGTTCCAAAGTAATCAACGCTTTGAAGCGATAGAATTCGTGGACCAACACGTTTCGGAAAAGCTCTAGATTTAATCTTTCCTAAGCTTTCTTCGCAAAACGTGCATGGCTTCGGTAATATGCCGCAAAGCACACAACACCCGATTTGCATAAAATTCTGCTCTCCGTTGGTCGGAGCGAATGTTATCCATCTCCGTTTCCACCTCTCTCAACAGAGACATGACAGTACGGACAAACTGGGCCAAGTCATCATCTGCGGTAGATCTGGGAAAAAAGAAAAAAGCATCAGTAGATGAAAACTTTGCAGGAAAATTTGAGATATTCCAGTATAAGCTTGATTTGAAGCGATGTCTGATTCTCTCGATTGGAAGAAAGTCGACTTACCTTGAGACAGTAAAGGCCAAGACGAGAAATAAAAACATTTGAAGATGATACTTCATCATAACAGGACAATAACCACAAAATATTACAACTGTGTAAAGGATAACAAAGCTTATTTCTACTAATTTTCTTGATACAGCGTTTAACGACGAAAAGCATGAAACGTGGATCGGGATTATGGCAGACCCACGCCGTTGCACTTTGATTCCGTAACCATGGTGTCTCCATGGTATCCTTATCAATAGTCGTTTCCAGTCTCCTTTCTATGTTCAGCGTCAAGTGTTTCGGCAGCATTACGAGCGATTTTCGAAAATATTCCGAAAGTCGAAAGTATTACGACATTTTCGTAATTATTTCGCAAATCCAAACCATCCCGAATTTTGGGGACCATTCCGAACTTTCGGAATCATTGGGAAATTTTCGGAACCATTCCGAGATTTCGGAATTTTTTTACACATGGCGG